TGCCGGTCTGTTCTTAGACTTTATATGCATGATTTATCACAGTTTGTAAAAGATGGTTTGCACAGATAATTTATGTTTCCTATTGGTATTCAGTTTGGAAAACAGCGATTAGTTTAATATTCTTTTTAAGAGGTTTGTTATTTGCCTTGCATGTTTCTAATGTGGCATCGATCAATGTATATTTCGTGAAAAGAAAGCAATGACGAATATCGTCATTGCAATAATGATGATAATGGTAATGATTATGATGATAATATTCATAATAATAATAATAATCAGGTCTACTGCCTGGAAAGTCCAGAATCTGGCAGGTTCTTTATATTCCCTACACTCAAATCAAGCCGCCGAAGATGGCGTTAATAGACCTGTTGAATGCATGAATGAATCACCATTTACACTATCTACCTGTTGAATGGTCCGGAATCTCATTGTCTGCTTACATTTTACATTTTAAATTTTATGCTTCCACTCACTTGTAACAACTTTTTAAAATGTATAAATGCATATTGAATAAAAGGTTTTGTAGCAAATGGCAATTCAGATCAGATGGTGTCCCAATGTTTTAATAGGGACTTTTAGATTGAGTGGACGAGAACACGACGAACGCCGACTGATCATGCGTGTCAACGTACTCAACTGCCCATGTTGACTACAATTAGAAATCTTTTAGATTGCATTCGACGATATACATGCATAAAGGGAGTAACACTATGAACATGACGGACAAAGAAAGAGGACAAAATATACAGTTCCTCATTCTACCCTCAACAATTGCTGTGGTAGACCATCCCTTCACTGCTATTATGTAAACATGTGTAGAACAGGTGAATATGCATGTGACACCTGTTCTACACATTTTTACATAATAGCAAGAAGGGATGTTCCTTTGTCTACCTGAGGAACTGAATATTTTATGCGCACGCGGCATATACTAGTACCGTACTAGGAAAATCAAGGTTGACGCATTCTCGATCGTCGACTGAGACGACGTGACGCATGCGCAGTGCCTTAAAATGACGTCACACGTTGCAGTCAAGGCTGTCGACGTGCAAATCTAAAAGTCCCTATAAACCAACACTTCGACACAAGAGGACACAAGAGAAGTCCAGGGATGGGCGAGCAGACCTTAGCCAGTGTATGGGAGTGTGAATTGGAGTGTGAATACGTGTGTGTTTGAGAATGTCCATGGTACAGGTGTGAGAATAGGAGAGTGTATATAGTGAGAGTGTGTGAGAGCAAATTGGGGCCGGCTTGCTCATCCTTTGACCCACTCTTGTGTCACCTCACAATATATATTTTAAACCTAACGGCCCGAATTCACAAAGCAAGGTTTGAGCTCAGACCAAGGTTTGAGCTCAAACCTCCTTTTGTTTCGCCAAACCTCCTTTTGTTCTTTACAAACCAGGTTTGTAAAAAAACGCGTAAAACGCGTCATATGACGTACGAAAACCAAGGTTTGTCGACAAACCTCCTTTGTGAATTCGGGCCGATGTTTTACATTTTACATTTTGAATTTTACATGTTATGCTTCCATTCACTTGTAACATCTTTTCAAAATATGTAAATGCATAATTATTGACTATAAGGTTTTGTAGCAATCATGACATGGCATGTCCCAAGGTTTTAATTCATGTACTTATTTTGCTCCAAATGTACAAAGGTCGGGGGAAGCTTTCTTGTTTTTTGTTGTTTATATTTTGAAATACCCAACACTTCTTGACACAAGAAAAGTCCAGGGATGGGCGAGCAGACCGTTAGCTAGTGTATGGGAGTGTGAATGTGAGTGTTTGAGAATGTCCATGGTACAGGAGTGAGAATAGGAGAGTGTATATAGTTGGGGTGTGTAAGAGCAAAGGGCCTGCTTGCTCATCCTTTGACCCACTCTTGTGTCACCTCACAATATATATGTTAAACCTAACCTAATGTTTCTGTTATTGCTATTGCTTTGTCATATTGTTCATGAATCTTGTTATATACTGTACATTATACTTTATGAGAATTTCAAACCACATTTTGTATGTATTTTAGTCAATGTAAATTATTCATAATTTAGCCATTTGGCTTCGAAGTGCAATTATAATAAAACCTTTTCAATCAATCATCAAATATTAACGACCTCATACGCTCATATATTTTTCACCGTGCGTCCTAATTTAAGGATCACGCCATCTTCGACAGGCAGCGAGTAAGTAGGGGGAGGTAGTCCTATTCCCTACACACTTGATTCAAGCCGTCGAAGATGGCGTTATCAACAAACTCATAATTACGCTCACCAGCCCAGCCTGATTTTTTTTCGCCGGGCGGCGAATTTTTTTTCCGTACTCGAGAGGGCAAATACCCCATGTGCGCATGCGCGTGGACTTGTGATTTCTCTGCTACTTCCCATACGAAATGTACATGTATTCGCATCTACTGTGCACGATTCGCGTTCTACGAGTAAACGATGGCATAGTAGTCTTCAAACACAGACTCTGATTTGCCAGTTTGACAAAACAATTACGCATATATCGTGCGTAGCAATAGTACTAGTATTCAAGTCTGAGTAGTTGTATGATTCAGACATTTTAGTGCTTACAGAAATGCATCCCAAATTGAATAGCATGGTATAGTAGTCTGCAAGCACAGACGCTAATCGATATGGAGAGAGAGAGAGAGAGAGAGAGAGAGAGAAAGAGTGTGAGAGAGCAGTGGCACAATACATAGGCCTACCATGGGGTCTGGAATCATTAAACTACACAAACTTGCATAAAATCACTACTCATCAATACACAATATATTATTATGTCCTTGCAGACTACTATACTACACTCTACACATTGAGATGCATTTCTAACGCACGCACCAGTAGGGTCTGAATCATACATCTACGCAGACTTGAATAAAGTACTTCTCAGCACACTACTAGTATGTTGTCAAACTGTCAGATTAGCGTCTGTGCTTGCAGACTACTATACCATTCTATACAAGTTGGCGACTTGAATAAAGTACTTCTCAGCACACTACTAGTATGTTGTCAAACTGTCAGATTAGCGGCTGTGCTTGCAGACTACTATACCATTCTATACAAGTTGCAATGTATTTCCATATGCACTACTGGGTCTGAATCATACAACTACACAGACTTGAATAAGCACATCGCGACACATACGCATATTGATTTGTCAAACTGGCAAATCAGAGTCTGTGTTTGAAGACTACTATGCCATCGTTTACTCGTAGAACGCGAATCGTGCACAGTAGATGCGAATACATGTACATTTCGTATGGGAAGTAGCAGAGAAATCACAAGTCCACGCGCATGCGCACATGGGGTATTTGCCCTCTCGAGTACGGAAAAAAAATTCGCCGCCGGGCGTCCTAATTTAATGATGACGCCATCATCGGCTGGTAGCAAGTAAGTAGGGAGAGGTAGCGTTGGTGTGGTGCCGCCGGGATCAAAATTAAATCTATTGGCTCGAACTTCAACGTTAAACCGAGGACAGTCCTTGCCTTTCATTCTCATCCTCGCAACAATGGTTTTCGACGGGTGTATTTTGGCAGGTCGCGCCATCTGTGTTGGATGCTTAAAGGGAGTAGCTAGGATAGATGATTGGAAGAATACAAAATAGAATCTGGACTACCGATGGGCTTAAGGTCGATATTTAGGAAGTCTGCGAGATCCATCATCCTGTTAAAAATGAATGTCTTAATTAATTAATTTATAACAAAACTTGTCATACGACGATGCTCTTTCCTTAATAGTAATTTGAACTCCATTCCATCTATTTTACAAAACTCTATACCAACTCGTATTCTACTAAAATTAAAATCCGACGCTGGATTTCAATAATTGTCAGAAATTGGCTTCGATAAAGGAGTTAGATTTGGTTACATTACCAAAATGGCCTAATAGTAGAATGCATTTCCACAAAGTTTCGTTTTTCATCTCTCTCTCTTTCTCCCTTCATCCTTCCCATCTCTCTCTCTCTCATTTCAGAGGGCTTACTTCGAACCATCGGGTCATCGCGTCCGGTCCTGTGGTCGCGTTACACGACCTTCCGTGAAACGAAAGCGGCGGGTGTCGGGTAAATTGGACCAGACCAATTGTAGATGAGAGGAATTTATTTCACAAACATTATCCCCGACATTTTGTGAATTAAGGGCATGTTTTTTCACAAAATGTCGGGTACCGCGACCACCCGACCCGCCGCAATGACCAGATGATTCGAAGTAAGCCTTTCAGAGGTAGCGTCATGAACTCGGGGATAAAAAGATGCATGAAGTCCATGCAAGGTATACATTTCTTTACTGGAATGACTCGTAAATTAATCCATTTTCCTTCCTCATCCTCTCTGTCTCCCTCTCTCGTTCCTCTATGACACAGCTGTTTATGTATTCTCTCCCTCTTGTTGTTGTACATGCAACACTATTCAATGCAATTCAAGAAATCGCAAGATCTTTAATCTGATCCCCATTAAATTTATGTTACTCGTGCTTTTAACTACCGGTACTGATTTGTACTATGTCCATCTTTTTATATGTGTCATATGTTTTTATATATTGAGTGAATAAATGAATTGAATAGAATTGAATTATATTACAGTGTATTACCTATGTCCTTCTGGCTCTCAACGATCGGATCACAACACAGACACAATATGCCATTTTCATAATGAAACCAAAGGTCATACAAGGTCTTTGTGAAGTGCCTCAATATGAATTATTTATTCACTATTACAAGTAATTCATCAGTCGGAATTCAAATGGCGTGTATGGGTTGTTGTTAGGTGGGACAAACATTATGGCTTGCCATACCTAACAACATGGAATGCATGCTATTTGCAATTGCAATGCGATTTTCCGAAATGCTTGGATGTAATAATTTGAGTCACTTCACAATGATATATGCATTACATTTGGTTACATTAATAAATGGGCTTCTTCTATAAAGCAATTCTCTTGAAATAGAAATCTCGAAAATCAAATATGCAAAGGAGATAAAAATACACAAATACAAACAATTTACGCTGTTTCCATCGTTTATTTACGATACATCAGCTCTCACACAAATATCAAAAAAACAATTGACGAAAATTAGACAAAATTTGTCAATGCTTAGAAATACATTTTACATTTGCTTTTTTTAAGTAGAAAAAAAAAAATACATATTCGTATATCTCATTAATCAACAATCTACAATTCATCCCCCCCCCCCCCCCTCTTTACCTCTGCATAAAATTCTACCTTATTACAAATGAATCTTATACGATTTATTGAAGGTGCCTGCTTTGGTTTGCTAGAGATTTTTGAAAGAAATTCTCTTTACCTTTAATACTCTGTTACACTTCACATACATGCAATATATGCATTGGATCATGCTCAGTACATTGCGATATCAAAGTTCTGTCATGTGTGTAATTCATATAGGCACTCATTGTCGCGTAAGGCACATAATTATGTTGATGTTATCAACACACAACACCAGATTTATGAATGTTGAGGACTGCATTCTTCAATCCTAAAGTTCATTTTTGTTCAGAATTCATCGGAGATGACAATTTTTGCCCGTTTTGTTTCTGATCTTTCATGTAACTGAAAATTAGCCGTACAACGATTAAACATAAATTTTTTAAAAATGATAAGAGTTTGGCTTCATGACTCGCTTGCAATTGAAGTTTTCATGGCTAAGATACAAACTTAAATGATTAAAAGCGATTGGTTGTGCGAGTGATATGTACTGTATATAGTCATATCCTGTTTAGTTCATTCAGGTCTATCATTATTTCATCATTTCATATGTCTTGAATCAAGTCCTTGTCCTTTGGAGTTCAATATGTGTCTTTAGAAAAATACAAAAAAGGCACATGGTGTGAGTGATTCCATCCTAAGCATCTCATTTGGTATCATGCCTTTCATCTGATTGCCTATTAGAAACTGAATTCATAACTTATCAAATAAGTAATATCTCTTTTACAACTATCCTCGTAATTACAAAAAAATAATAATCCTACTATAAAATTTGCATAAGTGGTGTGATTTTAAAGTAAACACTTTCATAGGGCAGTATCAATATGACCTAATAATAACAAAATTATAAGAGGGAAAAAACACAAAAAAGCAGCAAATGATTTAAGTACTTTGCATATATACTCTTTTTCACACAATATTTTGCATACTTTTTATTTGCATAAAGTAACCAAATATAATTTATAACTAACTTATCAGAAATGCATTTTCTTACTCAAAATAAGTGATAATTTTACCCTGAACATTTCTTTCTAAATTTAAGTGCATAAACTTTGCCATTTATAAACTTACATGCTCACCCGGCTATACGGAATATGAGCAAAACTGAACTTGAAATCAGCAAATGAAAATGTGAACTCAAGGGATTTAAAATATCTATCTTTCTTATTGCTTTGAAATATACTATAAGCAACAAGAAAAAAACAAGCTTAACATTCATTATCGAAAGAATATAAGCTGAGGCACTTCTGTGCTAAAATGTCTACATAATTATTTAACACTGGAAGAACAGAATGGAAGTCGACATTGGAAAATATAAACATTTAAAAATACAAAAAAAAAACATACAAAAAGTAACTGGCCAGGACTTTTCTCCTACAGATTCTTCCAGCCTTTCTTTATAACTAAACATAATACTAAAGCATAACATGTCACAAAATAACTATTCACTACACATTTATATTTATTCACCCTTCTCTTACACTGTGTTGAATGTATGTACAATGTCTTATGCCAAAATTATTAATGTTGAGCACACATTCTGAATAATAAAAGGTGAAGAAAAAAGGGGGAATATAAGGAAGTCCGACTATTGAGGAAAATAACAATAAAAATTTGGATTTCAAAAGGTCCATTATATAAATTTTCTGAAACATGAAAGATACCAAATTAAATCATTGGATATTGGACAATAAAGGGGCTTCTCCTCTGAAATTTCATTGTGATTGAATAATAACTGTCTATGGAATAGAAATATTCATTAATCAATCCTAAATTAATAATCCATATAAAAAGCAGACTTTCCTCATCGAAACCCTCTCTCTCATACCAGGGTGTCATCAGTGTGCGAGACACTCAGCACTCAAATTGGCAAATTCTTTCACTTTCAAAGAATTAAATTGAAATAAACTTTGCTAAATTGATGAAATAAAGATCCAAAATTAATTACAACCCAATCAAGCTCCCAACTTTTGAGTTCATTTTATAAAATTCTTTTCCAAATATGCTCTTTGCATGGTGATAATACAGCTATTCTCAAATATCCAAATAGCCAAACTCCCTGTTTTCCAAGAAATGAAATGCTAATATTATACACGTTTAAGCATCTCATATAAACCCTGTCTACATAAATACTACAATGTGTTTGAGCCAAGATGAGTTCATATCATAACAAGTACCCTCTTATTTCGTTTTACTACAAAAGCAGCCTCGATTCTATTATATAAATAACAGAAATATGAAAGGAAATTTTTGTTGCATTGTCTTATTGTCCAATTATATGATAAAAATTGATTTAAAAAAGTTCAGTTTAGGCCATAGCTGGAAGTGACACTTTGAAATGCACATACAAACTTGTGGATAAATCATTAAGGGAATTGACTGCAACTAAAATTGCAAAAAAATGTCATATTTGTGTGGCAAAACACTTAACAAATCCTTAGGCAATTTGTATATGTCTTCATTTTTTTCTATTTTTAAACTACACAAACTACATCCACAAATTTATGGTTATAAAAATCGTATTTGGAGCACCTCGTTATGAAAAGGTACCCTCTTCACATCACCTTGCAAACCTGACCAATGTAAATCGTACAGAAATTACATACACATATCATAATATATCATCTTATCGTTTAAGTACAAAATGCAACACAATGGTAAAAACACAATATAAGTACAAGTCATTTCTCACATGGTGTATTCTACAAAACATTCTTAGCTATCTACATTTTTTTTTATTCAGCCTCTTTGTACTGCATTATCTTTTTTTGACATATTTTGTATAAAAACAACTTTGTACAGGGTAAACCAAAAAAAAATCAACACTTGGATACATAAACAACTTTGATCTTATGTGTCGGTTGTCTGTTAGCGTCAATCATCCAATAACGCACTATTTATGCATCCATATCTAGCAGCCTCCTACAGTTCTTAGCACTTCAGTAGTAAATAAAATAAATGAATGATGACACCTAGCGTGAGCCTTGCTTAAGGGTGCCATTATTCTCTAGCCAGTTTCCCTGAGTTTTTCTTTCTCGCTGACAAGAAATGAAATGAAATAGGCTGCTGTGTTGTAAAAAATATATAAGTGTATTACAAGGCACACTTGGTATGAACAAAATCATTTCGTGATCCAAGATTAGTCTTCCTCTCTTTCAGTGTAAATAAACTTGTCGTCCACCAGTTAATCCTTTCTTACCACTTCCCACCATTCAAAATACCATTGAGAGCAGTGTGTTGACCTCTCTAAACAAACCAATAGGCCTCGGCTGATTCTTCACTTGTATACTTCAGCATTGCCTTTAGAATAAACTAAAATATTCTGAACGTTTTTCTTTGCAATTACTTACTATTTACTCTGCTTAATCAATACTAACACTTCTGGTTCCACACGGAGGGGTCCCAGAGGAGACCCAATTGTCTCTATATCTCTTTTAAGAAGTTTCTCTCAAGATTAGCAATAGATATGCATATTTCTTCCGTCCTAGTTCACACACATTTAGAGTTTGGCGGAAGACTGCATATTTGTTTTTATTTGACACTGGAAGACTAGGCCACCTCAGGTTCATCATCTTTGGGGATGTCTGACTGGACAATTTTGGAAATGGTTCCAGATTTTGATGAAGAAGACTTCAAAAGAAGCTTCAGGAAAAACTAGATTGATGGTTTTCAAGGGGGATAGGGTCTCTCCCCATTTTTAGCTTCTTCAGCTGTGAATTATCTGCCAGGAATGGGACAAAGTATTGACCAAATCATCCGAGAACGACCTCAATAATTCTAAGATTGGTTGGTTATGTTTCACAGATTTATGCCAGTCGTGGTATCCGAACGTCGCAGCCAAGGGTATTTGTGTTTGGAGGAATCTCCTGGAGGGGCGTAGGATGTAGACAACAGGGTTGCTTTTTTGATGTCGTCTTTCCAGGATACGTTTTTTTTAAAATTTGGCACTTGGTAACTCTTTCACGACATCGCTGCCATGTGGCTCCACATCATAACACACACGCATCAAGTCTACACATCCCACACGATCCAAGACACTCCCATGCAGCGCTGGATGTGACTACTTGCCTGGCTCACGGGTGGTTGCCTTAACCGACAAACTGGATCCACAAGTGCCTAGTCTCAAAAAACCAAGCCGTTACAATTAATATGGAATTGAACAAAGTCAATCTTTGAATTTTGCTGGTTAGAAAAATGGAGAGGGAGGAGAGTATTAGAATGCAGAGTCTGTTTCTTTCCACTCTGACATGCAGGTTGATGATTTAGTACATGCAGAATGGTCAGAGGTGTTCTTTGGACAGTGGTTTAGGGGTAGGCACTGTGGGATCCATCAGCCCGAGCTGAGGCAAGTAGTCAGCACAATCAAGTAGCACTGCCTCTCTCCTACTACAAGGCATGTCAGGAAAAAAAGGAAGAAAACATCGTCAGTGCTTCTTGAAAAAATGCAAAGCACAAATGTGTACCGGTATGCACAATCACATGGCCATAGTTTGAAATAATGTTTCAATATTACTTTGCTCTTCTCTTCCTTTTCTTTTCTGACACACCCTGTAGCAGTCATCGTCATCACACATTTAATCCCAATGTGTGTCATGCCGTTGAGTTCCTGATGCAACTTCAAAGAGAGGCTGATCATAACACCTTGAACTGTCACTCTGCTGTCTAAACAAACATAGATTAATCATGTCAAACTCACATTAGGATTCCTGCCAATGTTCAGATGAGCTTGACTGTTTGAGGTATTCTTGGAAGAGAGAAGAGTCCCACTGCACAGGTTTCTCTCTCTGGAGTTGTTTTCTTTTCAATGTCAAGGGGAATCTCAAGAATGACAGGGGATTACATGAATCATGATCAGCTCTTTGAAGTTGCATCATAGCCTGCTTGCCTTGACACATACAGGTAACATCAACCCATACTCTACATTAATTGTGGTAAGTATATATCACGGTGCAATTTTTAAGACAACAAAAATATTAGGAATAACTGACCGATCCACCCTGGTTACTGCTTAGGAGTTAAATGTATAAAAGGAGCTTGTGAAAGAGCATTTTGTTGCTTGTTAAAAAGACAATCACATCAACAATGACAATAGTATTGAAGTGATGAGAGAAAAAAATGAAAACAATTTTCTACTCACTAAGTTATCAAGAAAGATATAAAAGCTAATAAATTAATTTGTACAACAATGTGAAAAGTGGATATTCATAGCACTAGTTTGGTTGGCATGGTTATTACATTTCTTATCATTGGTTTGTTCTTTGTCTGAGAAACAAATTAGATGGAAATTAAAAATGGAAGCATACAGGGAAAATGATGAAATGGCAATGAAAGTTACTCTAGTATAGCTACAAGGTACTTCAATCTAACAAGCTCGGTCAAACAAACAGCATAACTCATCGTCGTTAGGTCACATGTCCACACCATACTCATTCTACATCTGCAGAGGGAAGTATAATGGATTGCAGCATTAATGAACAAAACCTTCATGAGATTTTGTAGTACCCTGCCAGATCAGAGCTTGCATATAAAAATAGATAAAACTTGGTCGTAGAAGAGTTGCAGAATGTGTCTCCACTACCAAACTTTTCTGGATTCTTTCATTCACATAGGCTAACTACAAGAGTCATCCGCGCAATGGGTTAAATACAGCAAAGGTTGATAGATGTCAAAGTCTTCCAGACGTAACCGTGTATGGACAAGTTGAAAGGGACCAACGGAACCATCATGACGAGAGAGGGATGGTGCCATGTTTGACCGAGCTCGAGAGTAAGACGTCAACCGTTAATCAACTACAAATCATAACAAGAATCTACAATATGCAAATGATAAACATTTTTTTTGTTTTTCAAACAAAGTTAGCAGCCATGAGTGGGAGACTAATGCCTTTCCACAACCAAATAATATTCTGAATTAAACAGGGAACAATGGTGGTTTCAACAAGTAAACAGCTGTTAAGCTATAATGATAGATAACTAGAAATTAAAACGTACATGAGTAAAGGAGAGAATATTCTCAATAGAAATTAGGCGCATACGGATGACATTTTTCAAGAGGGTTATTTAGAAACTAAAACAACAAAAAACAAAGGATATATGGTAAAAAAGTACAAACCATTCATTAGTGGGTATTTCTAAATATTTTCAGTAGTGAATTTTGAATGTTTTGACAGTGGAAATAAAAATAAAACAAAATCACAGAAGGTTGTTTTCTGCCATTTGTCTTGGACTTTTAAGAAGAAGTGATGATAAATGGAAGCGGTTTGTTCCTTTTATTTCAGGCACGATAAAAACAAGCCTCAAAACTACATGAATAAATGTAAAGCAAGAAGGTTAAAGGTCACATGACTGTAGGACTGCCATCCTTGTTAATTTCTTTCTTTTCTTTTTAACAAAGAAGAATTAATGAATTCAAACTCAGCGTGAAGAGTATCACCATTGTGCGAGTGTGTGTGAGTGTGCAGCTTGCAACACTGTAAAGGAGCACGAAGGCAACTGATACAACGCAATGAAGGTCAGGTCAGATGATGAGGTCAAAGGTCATTGATGGCACGGGAAGATAAAACGAAGTAGAGTACTTGGAGTGCGTAGGATGCATGTTAGTTCAGGCTACGCTAGTTGCCCGCGGCGGCTGGGAAGGATCAAGTTAATGAAAAACCAAAAATTGGGAAGATAAAAACAGAAAAGAACCTCTTGTTAGTATCGACCAGATATTAGCCCATATTTTGTTTGTTTTCTTCCAATAATTTAGTATTGTAACTATCATCTGGGGCTATAAGTAAACCATATAATCACAACAACAAAAACATGTTAATAGTTTCCATAAATTTTTGTTTTGTTAACTTTTTGTTTTGATTTTTTCTTGACAAACAAGGACATAATATTCTGGTTTGGAGAATAAAAAAACAATGCATGCATGAAAGGTGATTAAAGCAAATGACCTGGGATTTCAACATTTAAAAAAAGAAAAAATACTTCAGTTTTATATTCCAAATATGGAAGAATATATAGTAAATAATGTGTGAATGAAATAACTTGATTGTGATCTTCCTCCGGACCTGTTTCTTTATCATGGCAAGAAGTGTGACTCACAAAATAACACCTTTTTGATTTGTCGAAGGATGTGGAAAAACTAGAGAATAGTCAAAGTAAAGTTTGTGTGTGGTCTCTTTTCTAGCATTTTTGTCTTGGTTCTTGATAAAATTAGTTACTCTTTTTCTTCCAATTGACTGTACAGATTTGGTGATTTAACTTTGGAAATCTACTCAATATCTGAAATCATCTTGATATAATTTTTTGATTTTGATTTTGGGGTTTTTATGAGGGGAGAAAAGTGGGACAAAAAGAATAAAAAGAAGCAGCTGATGTTAATATATGGAGCTGAACAATGAATACCATAGCAAAAATAATAACTAAATTATGATATACAAGACACCACTGATATAGGGACAAAAATGTTAATATCAAGTTTCTGATTAGAACAAGCTCCTTATACGGGTTAAAAGTTCTAACAGACCAATTCATGCTGTAATTGTCATTTTGGGGGGTTTTCTGATGGAGAAGAATTATGAACAGAAACCAAGTTGCGGGGTGGTCTCGTACAAATGCTAAAATCATAGAAATTGCAAGAAAAGTTGGTAAAATTAAGTCAGCATGAAAAGAGACAAAAAGCGTACGCATGCTTGAACAATCTACTTTTTGTGTGAGAGAGAACACAAGAAAATGCTATTGGATAAGAGAGAAAGAGACAATTTTGTATGAATAGGATTATATAAAAAGAGATAGAAAATGATGATATGCAATTATGCACTAAAATGATTAAAGAGATCAAGATAACCGGTTTGGTAGTCATTTTTCTTTCAAACATTTTGTTTTCATACAGGTGCATGTGTTTAGAATATGATTCAAGTCAATCAGTATTTTGTGAGTGCAAATTCCTTGCCATGATAAATTAGTAAGTAAAAAAAAAAGAATAAATAACAAATTTTCATGATTTGAGTTAGTTTCTTCTACTTGAAAATGGTGGCTTAGAAACGTCCTTCCCTAGAGAAAAAACGAACACACACACACGCAGACACACGTAAAGTTGTGTATGCATTCCCATTCGTGATACCTGTATTAAATTCATCCAATATAAACCAGATGATGAAGAAACACACACTCACAGAAACACATCGGAAACTACAGACTGGCCATATACATGGACAAGATTATTGCAAAATGAATAAAGCAGGAAAAGTCCTACATTATGAGTAGAGAGATACAAACGAAGCTTCATAAAACTCCTAGATTGAGAAAGGGTGTGATAAAATCATGCTAACTGGCATTAAAAAGCAGGAATAACGAAAATTCAAAAGTTGGAGGTGATAAGGACGAAATGTTGGGGAAAAGGCAGAATTAAAAATGGGCATTAATCTACTATGTAAACAGTGAAAAGCTTGTGTATATTAAGTTAAACTAATGACAAATATCAAAATGATCAACCTTGCATCAACTATGAATTTTAAAAGCGAATGTCACCCGAAAAATAACAAAAAGGTTGTAATCAGCCCCAAAAATATTGACGTTCTAGCTTATGCAGAATAGATATGGATGGATAATAATGTGAAGTTATTCTGCCTAAAACCTTTTCTAGCCATTATCCAGCATAATGGGTTAAAAAGGCAGTTAATTATTATGCGTATACAACACAACCCAAATATATAGACTTGTTTTCTTTTTCTCTTTCATTCAAACATAGCAGTTATTGACACCTGTGTGAAAAAAGGGGGTTAGATTATCGTACCAACACAAAACTACCGGGTGCATACACACTTAGCTTGACACTATGATCTGTTATAGAGAATACCCGCATAAATCCCCAAATTATTGTGCATTTGTGAACAGGTTATACGCCTCGCAGTAACCTGCTATTTAGAGATACATCATATTACATTTAAAAGCTGTGCTTTGTCCGGTTACAAGAAGTCTGTTATATATCCGCTTGTTCAAACAAATGTTAACATGAAAAATTATGTACACACTCTCCAAGCAGAGGGCTGGCTAAAGAGAGATCCAGAGTAGCACATCAATATTGACATTTGAAGCACAGATTAATAAAAGCGTAATCTCTGAACAGATCAATGCATAAAGTTAAATGTGAACGTGCCCGAGGAAGATGTCAGTTTGAGGTGTGATTATGATGATAATGATGAGGAGATGGATGAGAAGGAATGATTCCCCACCAGGCCTGTTCACATGCAGCCAGAGCCTAAGAAACAAAGACAGTGCTAGAGTGAACGGATTAATTAGAGGGATAAATCAAGCAGAAAAAAAAAAACAGTGTCAACAAAAAAGATGAAGTGATTAGCAGTTGATTAATCATACCTGACCAGTCTGTGCTTCGTCTACGCAAACGATCATCAAATTGGCAAATCATTGAGAAGGACAAGATAGTTTAGCAGCTTTGATAGACAAGGAACAATATTTAGCAATTCCAAAATTCAATCTTTGAACATTTAACCCCAAAAATCCAAACAGATAAATGCGACGGACAAATGAGATATTTTCTTTTGACATAAAAAGGTCAGAAAAAACATGTCTGTCGGCTAAAAGAATCAAGCTTGCCTTCTCTGATATGTGCCTGTATGATAATCCAACAAAGTTTCAGTTCATTGCTTCAGTCAAACTTCATTTCAAACAGACTCAGGTTACTCACGCGGCACAAACTCTGGATAAACGGTTGGTTTATTTTCTTGATCATCATTCATTCTCATTTATTCAACTTTTTCTTCAGCTGGAGTACAAAGTCTTTTACAAAGATAACGTCAGGTTCCCGACTGCTGCCATGGAATTCATGTGATAATCTAAATTTCTTCCCCAATATCCAAGTCATATTTTCCTATATATACATATAAAAACCCTGTCCAATATCTTGCCGAATCCATACTAGCACAAAATAATACTTGACATTAAGATACCTGCAATTTTGTTCTTTGAAAAGTGAAACTAAGATAAAAAATTCCAACCATTGAAAATAGCACTAGAATTGAAAAACCCCTCTATTCCCATACAGTTTCTTTTTTCTGTTCCCTCCAAATAAGTAAATATAAAATGTACAAAAATATATTTTCAGAACATAGAATATGAATGCATGTACCATAGACAAATCATCATTTTAAAAAAGTAAATACATTATTAACTTCTCACATGAAGATAAAATATGTTTCCTCTTCACGGTCATACATAATTGAAATGGATAAACGAAATAATATCATGCTTAAATATACAAATATTGTGCAGACAACAGTAGAAAAAGAAATACAAATTTGGTCCCACATATACATATACTTTCTCAAATTCCATATACAGTACAAAAATATTTATTTTATCATTTCATATTGAAGTCACTAGAACCTTAATTGCTTTAAAACATGCTGCTTGTCCACATTCCAGGTGTAAATCTTTGTAGTCTTACTCTAACAATATAGCAACTACATGTATAAAACATGTAGGTTTAGCACACTTTTGGCATAAATGAAAATATTTGAATTCCAATCATAAATATGTACAATACAGAAGAAATCCTTGTCCATTTGGTGTAAATATAATAAATCTACGATTCTAGCACACTTTAATTCTAATGATAATACTACTTTGGTAGTTTATGCCAACTCTTCTCTCATAAATATGATAATGATACCTTATCTACTTAACTCTACAAACAATTCATGTGGGATTTTGAGAAATCCTGCCTTTTTACTATCGCACCATATGAAACAACATGCATCAACAACATTGCAAGATAAAAATGATGGAAGAAATTAAATGAGTTTTAGAAATGTGTTAATCTTGGTGGCCTGCAATGGAAAAGTGTTAGTATTAAGAGGAGAAAAATGGAATGATTAAAATGATGCTCCCCTACATCTGCGCACCTGTTGACATGGAAGAAAAATTTGTAGTTAAAAAAACATTTAAAGACAAGAAGGATATTCACATCTTGTTGAAATGAAGCAAAAGATACAGTCACAGAAGTACAAAGAAGGAATATTCCTTTTTCCTTCTCACAATACAGGAAGTTTCATACAAAAGTTCTTCATTTTTCGATTCGCTGATGTTATTGTATTTTATTTTTGTAAAGATGACAATCAGATTTCATTTTAGAAAATGGAGCCCCCTTTCAAAATTCAAAGTAAAACTTCCCGCGCTGCACAAGGCAAGGATGTCAATTTGGAGAGGCCACTGTTACAGCTATAAAAAAAAAAAATAAGTTAATGTACTTCTGGCCCTTTAGAAGTAGGAGTAGAAAAGAAAAATGTTCCCTTTTCGTACTTCTATGTGACCATACCTGCATCATCTACAAAGTAATTAACGTGTAGAATCAAAGACCCTTTGAACATTTTCCTAAGAAATCTAAATCAAACTTTCTGATGATGAATGCTCATATCTATGGTATATGTTATTACTGTTCACTTTAAACCAAACTGCGAGTGCCATCATATACTGTAGATTTGCAATTGCTCTCTTAAGAGGAATCAAAACGTCGTACAGTGATAAAGCCATTTTGATGCTTACGCTTTGGAATATACGAAGCACGCAGAGAGTGCTTCATGATTTAGGTAAATGAAATATCTATAAGAATGGAATCAAAATTGTAATCCAAAGATCATCTGTTGAAAGCCAGGAGGGCGCTAACTCTGTTTAAGAGTTTATTAGTAACACCCTTCTGGTTGTCAACAAACGATACTGAAGGCTTTCAAGTTTGATCTGCAAATTTCAGAGTCAATGGTACAAAGGGTCCATGACCATCTTTTTCAAACACTAGGGGCTCAAAAAAAAAAAAAAAATCACAATTGAATCATCAAATCCACTCAAATTGGATTAATGACAATTTAAAGAAAAGTCAAAGCAAAGATGGATAAGAGACTAACCTCTTGGATCAAGCATTGCCCTCTGGTAGGGATGATCTCGGATTGTCCTCCGTAGCTTGGGTGCCATACCTGCTGTTGGGTGGGGCATAGGGGTCGAAGGTCATCATGCACAAGGGGCATTCACCAACCAAGGGGGGCGGGGCACCAATGTTAGTCCATTTGTTCATTTTTTTTATTTATTTATAAAGAGTTAGGTAATTTTGTTTAAAATCCGTAGTATTCCAAAACAGACAGGGCAAGTTGGGATGAAGTAAAGTTTTTTTTTTTAAGTAGGATTAAAAAGGAAATAAAATAAATTGGTTAGACAACTGGTATGACATTTGATGTATTAAAACATAATTAAAGTACTTGTTATCTAGTTATAATGGACAATGTGAGTGAGGTGGTATTAAATCTTTTTATTGCATCTTCTTTTATTGCTTGGCGTTAATGTGAATCAAAACTCTAGTTATTAGGAATTAGTCATTAATTTTGTTTCTTTATTTTAAGTTTTTTACAACTTGTAAGTAGATAAACACAAATGATTGTTCTATCAAAAAACACATTGACAAATATATTTTTATACAAAAGTGATCTTTTTCTGGCATATCTTTAAAGTGAATACTTGACTATTTAATAATACATTCTTTGCAAGCATGTGAGTTGCTTTAAAAAAAAAATCACAGTCCATAAAACTATGCTAATCTGTTTGGACATACTGAAAATAGAGTTGTTTTAAAAGTCGTGAGTAAAAAGAAAATAAATCTTTGCAAGGTTTAAAGCATGCATCTACAGTATCTTGGAAAATGCAATTGAACAAATAATAAGTTATATATTTCTTACTTTAAAAAATTCTATTTGTTGAAAGACTTAGCTCAATATATTATTTGCTACTTCAAGTTGCCATTTCCATGGCATATAAATTACCACTACATCACTAAAAGTAGGGTTAATCATATAAACTTGAGATAACAACACATTCACAATATCAATATATTACAAAAATACTTGTTAAAATTTGAATTTTTTGTTGAGTTGATACCATATCTAACCGTATCTTTACCTCAAGGAAAATATATACTGTGATATATTTGTACATGATCAAGTTGTGACAATTTCCTTTCTATGATTTTGTATTTTTAAAAAAGGTAAACAATGACAAAAATATAGATATCACACACTGTTATATTATTTGTAGCTCACACACTTTGTTTAACTGCGACCGGGAATCCAGTCATTACAGAATAAAATCCAGAAATTCACTTTTATATTTTCTTATCTTAGTTCTGCAAGGATATTCCCATCTTAATGATTTTCAGAATTATTATATATATCGAACCACTCTCTCCCTCTCCCTTGTTTCCCCCTCTCCCTCATTACTTCTCTCTCTCTCTCTCTCTCTCTCTCTATGTCTCTCTTTTCTCTCTGTCTCTCTCTCACTCTTTTCCTCTATTTATCTCCCCTCTTTCTTTAAAAGTATGGAGAGTGTCATCCATATTTCAAACAAAAGGCGCATATGAACATGCCCAAAATTCTGTAATTATTTTCTCTTACAGATTTATTTCTTGACCCATTTCTCAGAAGATATGCCTATAGCAGGATGAACATCACACTTCTGCATATAATTTTTTTCAGCGAAGGTTAGAGTGATGTTTGTTAATTTCAAGTCCTTTTTGGGCAAGTACTGAAAGACAATTCGTGGGGAATGCCCGGTTCTATAAACAATAGCCTCAATATGTATCCTCTTGATTGATTGACAGATAAAGATATTGCCAAAATGAAGTAATGATGTGTTTGAAAATGGTTTAACTGGCCTCTGCCTGACAATATTATCCCCTGCATGATTTCAGGGCCCACTCTGAACATATCGATGTCACCGTCTTTCATTTAACTAACCCTCTAGAGACAGGTCATTTCTGATGAGATATCATGGGCTTTGATAGTCTTCACCAGGTTAAGGTATTGATAGGCGCCATGGGATGTACCATGGGTGCAAGGGGTAATACCGAGGCACCCCTTGAACTACTTGGTGGTGGTGTCCACCTAGTGTACAGCAGCCGCCATGAACATACCGAGTGTACCGTCAGACATTGAAGGAGGGTACTCCAGCATGGCTGGTGTAAAGGCGTACTGCTGGTAGGGGTCCAGGGGCATGAGAATGTTGGAACCGTCATGGGAGTGCATCATGGTGGGCGACGCCTGGATACCGCCCAGTCCGTTGACCATCGTGGTGGCGGCCATGCGGGGAAGGAGCTGCGGTGCCAGCATGTGCGCCTGGGCGGCGGGGGTGGGCGATCTCATTGGCTGGGGTATTAAGGCACCGGCAGGTGATTGCATCGTTCGGGGTGAGGCTGGGAGAGGAATGGAAGAGGAGGATAGGTGTATAAGAGAAAATTCAATAATGGTCAAGAGAATTTACTTTTAGAGGGTGTCGCACAGTGACATCTTCAAAGAAAACCATAAATATCTTTTTGGTTTGAGAATTTTTCAGAATTTTTTGCCTTTTACTTAGTACAGTAGAAGGAATATAAAAAGTAACATTTCATACAAATATTACTCATTTTTTTCATCAACCTTACAACAATGTTACTGAGTCACTTTAATATCGGAGAACAGAGACAAGAGTGAATATCTCCTAACGAGTTCTTGACATACACAATGGTATTTTACAAAATGTACATACTTATACAAGTACCAATATGCAAACTACTGTTCCACGATTTACGAGTTAAGAAACGGTAGAAGGTTGTGCTAAATTGGTCTTCTAACCTTATCATTATCTTTATTCATAGGACTATGTGAAGCAAGAATTTACAAGCATTTACACCAGCAAGTGTTTTCCGACAAACTTTGGAATGTCTCCCTTTAATATGTCATGCATCCAAATGCATATATTTAGTAAATATGTGTAATATTACATCACTTGGGCTACCGGTAATCAGCCACAATACCTTTTCATCATGGTAACAAAAAATATAAAACAGAAATACCCAAAGCCTTCAATGTGTGAAAATATAATTTGAATTGTAACAACTACTACAATTATTGCAGCCTCAATCAATTTTGTTGCTAACTAGCACAGCAAGAAGGTATATAGTAAAAACCTCATGACAATGCCTTGTGGTGTAGATTAGACCTCTGCCAACTGGTACAATACTCACTAAGTGGCGTGGCAGCAATACCGGTACTCGTTTGTAGCTTATTCGTGTTATCTCTGTATGTTCCCTTCATCAGTGCTAATTCTATTAATTGTCTCTTTTTCAGGTCGTCCTCTCCTTCAGCCTGTAGTGCACAGAAAAGAAAAATCAAGAAAGGAAATAAAATCGTGATCATGGCTAATTTGAAAGACTGGTGATTAAATGCTAGTTTGTTTGTTCATTACAATGATACGCAGGTGGGTATTTCTCATATGACAGCTAATTATCAAAATGAGAAAATGCGATGTCCTGCTACTCCTGCACTTCAGTTCAAGAGGAATGTGTCTTGGAAAATGGAAACTCATAGTTTATACAGGTTTTATACACCGCCTGGGAGACGTTGTCGTGCTAGCTCATGATAACACTAACTGGACAGTGCCAGGGGTACATATAGGCATTGTCTGCAAACATTGAAATGAGATTGATGTGAGAGAGTAGGGAAGGAGACATAGCCATATCAAAATAAATACAATGCTGCCCTCTTGTGTTTCAATACAGGGATTCTTGCAAGAAAGCTGAATACTTGGCTCCATCATAGACCACATACAAAAGGGTGTGGCTTGTTCATTATTATTAGCATGCTGTGCTTCACAATGGCCCACAATTAAGGTAGATCAAGTTGGAAATATCCAAGCATATGGAAGTTGAGAGGCTAGTTGCATCAAACTTCTACGCAAACTAAAAGCATAATTTGTTTATCCAAATATCCACTCTTAACTTCCTGCCCTAATGTAAACTGCCATTCCTTCTACTTCAACCATTGATTAACATGAACTGGTATGCATGTAACTGTATGTAGCATACATGACAGGCTTTCATTTAACTATGGTAGATTTTACTGTCATTTATTGTCTTATTTCATGAAGGCTGTCAAAGTTTGACAACTTTATGAGAGTGCATCTTCTTTTATTCACAACTGCACATTGAAGAATTGCTGGTAGGAAATGGGCAATGACATTTCTGGACTGAATTCATTTGTATCATTACGTGGCTGATCTACAGATAAGACTGCAAGCCAAACCAACGACAGTGTGCATCTTTTCTTTAATAGTATATTTTGTTATTCAGACTTATGTCGCATACATGCCAAAATCCCTGGACTTTCACAAACAGCCAACCTATCATTATAAAAGCCAGTACAGTTGATGAAAAATCCATCTCAAGAACACTGTCACAACAAGTTGGGATCTACAGTTGTACGATTGTTTTTTGGGTACCCTGGATATGGTTATTGTAAAGAAACTGATTTTGGATGCTTGCGTAACTTCTTTTATTCTGACAAAGTTTAAAGAAAGAATTCTTAGAAGTGCTCACTTTCTTGCAGGGAACAATAATGAGATTTGTAAGGCCAGGGAGTAAACAGCTATGTATAGAACTAATGAGCAAGGGAAGAATTGTAAGATGGAATGATGAAGGACAAAATGTTTAAAATTGACAGAAAAGGGAGTGTTAAAAATGAGAGAGAGAGAGAGAGAGAGAGAGAGAGAGAGAGAGAGAGGGGGGAGAGGAGAGGGGGGAGAGGAGAGAGAATGAGGAAAAACAGAAACAGAGAGAGAGAGAGAGAGAGAGAGAGAGGGGCGGAGCAGAAGAGGGAGGGAAGGAAGGAAGAGAGAACGATAGATTATCTTTTTTGTTTAAATTCCAAGGTAACAGTGACATAGTAGAGATAAAAAATAGAAATCAAGGATAAAAATGAAGAATCAATAAAGATAGTGGGAAAAACAACAACAACATAAATGTAGAGAGAAGAGCCATGAAGCCCTGAAATGCTAAGCCCAGAGCATTGCATCGAGTCTCGTACAAAACAACACTCTCCCTCTGTCATCTGTTTATAAGCACCCACAATACACTGACAGTGCATAATTAAAAAATAAGAGAGAGAGAGAGAGAGAAAGAGAGAGAGAGAGAGAGAAAGAGAGAGAGAGAGAGAGAGAGAGAGAGAGGAGGGGACAATAACCATCAAGAAAAAGAAGACTTATTGAATTGAATTCCATTCTAAACAAATATCCATACTCTCAGGGTTACAGATCACATTGAGCTATCCCTCCTTCAAAAAGTAACCACAATTGTTCTGCTGTTATTAAAGAAAAGGCAAGGACTAAGGCCTCCTTTTAGGCCTGATAAATGGATCCCGATTCTAGCTCTTCAGACCTACTTGTGAATAAGACCTGGGCAGGATTATCCCCCTCCCACTCATCTATTCACATCTATATTAACTAGCCAATGAGAAGAGAGAGAGAGAGAAATCAATATACTGATACAAGGGATGATAAAAGGAAAGACTATAAGAGAGAGTGGAGAGAGTAAGAGGGGAAAATTGAGGGGGAAAAAAAGAAATTAAGGGACAGGATTAGGAGTTGTACGAGAAAACAACTTTGGAGACAGAGGGGAGATAAACAAGAAAAAGGAAAAGGGAAAGAAAGAGAGACAGGGGAGAGAGAGAGAGAGAGAGAGAGAGGGGGAGAGAGAGAGAGACTGTCATAGGAGAGAAGGAGAGAAGGAGAGCAGAACGGGATTAAATGAGAGTGGGAAAGAGAAGAAGAGAGCATTCAGCTTCCATTACAAGAATGATTTGAAAAAGCCCAACCTATTATGAGCAGCTTGCAGTTCACCATTTTTTATTATCAGTACAAACCTCTTGCAATACCACAAAATTACTTTTCTGTCTCATCATTAAAATATACCAGATACTCCAATCATCCACCCGGCTTTACTACATTTTATTCCACCATCCTGCTTTCATTTTAACCACCTTCAGTAGGGGCAGTTACACTGTCATCCAAACACGCCAAAAAATGCCAAACCGGAGCCTGGCCGCGATGTTACCAAGGGCAACTACGCTTTACCGGCAGACATGCCAAGCCCCAAACATTCCAAAACGAAGTGTGATCTTTTGGCGTGTTTTGGCGTGTTTTGGCGTGTTTGGCAAGTATAACCGCTCGCAGTTGTAACATCGCGATGTTAGGCACGTGTCTTCCGGCACTTCCGGATTGTTACCCGCGCTCTTTTAAACCACGTTCTTCCCGTGTGATATTTATAGCATTTCCATCGTCGCGCGTGTTATCCGTTCATTCAGCTCCGTTTGTTCCAATTCCGTTAACTCATCCTTTATTCAATCTTCGTTATTCCCGTCTGGCCATATCTGTCTAGTAGTAGTATTTGAGTGTTTTGTTAGATTAATTAATTAATCGACGTCGGCGAATTCTCCTAATTCCAATTAACAACGATGATTTTCTTAACCTTCCCATATCGTTTTTACTACTAGATTTCGATTGAATTTGGGAAAACTGAATCAGCAGCCGTAGTCCGTACTTCGTAACTTATCCACTCTTGCCTCAAATACTACACGCGAGATAAACAAAACATATCGCATGCATGCGCATGGGATGAATCGCTATTTAGCTAGCTATAGCGCTAGCTGGAAATTGCGCGCGCTAAAAATCTTATAGCAGGCCGGGGTCAAAGGTCGGGAAGACTGCACATGCGCATTACCAACCGAAACACGCCAAAACATCGCTGAACAGCTCCGTCGGTGATGTTTCAGCACAAGTGTAACCGGGTGCACGAAACATCGCGACTTTTCAAAATGAGGTATTTGACAGTATAAATGCGCCTACTGATCATTCCTTGTATTGTACATTACTCAAGAAAGCCGAGCTTAATCTCCCCATCTATTTCTAGAATTCATCAGTTCCTTAGCCCCCATCAAAGGCACAACGTTAATAACTGCAACAGCTTATAAAAATGCAGAGCCTGTAAATTGAGGGATTTGAGGAATAATAGAGAGGGCTTTTGTCATCTTCCCTGTGCTGTGGGGTTCCCTAATGAAAAGAAGAAGAGAAAAAAAACTGGGAAATTGGAACCTGGCGTTTTGGAAAGATGTCCTCATGAATTTCAAAGTATTTGCTTACAATTCGCTTTATACTGAGGGGGGAAAAGACAGTGAGTCAATGACCTGCATGCAGGATAGTTTTTTGAAGCTACATCATTCATACATAGTTTTAATCTGGGAATTTTATGTGAAAATGACTGTCCAATTCATGCAAGTTTCTGTCTTTACAGCTTTAAGGATGCGAGAAGCAAGCAGTAAAAGGGAGAGAAAAGGAGAAACACAGAGGAAGAAGATGGACAAATAAGAGCTCATGTAGGCCTGAAACAAGAGTATAGTCATGGCATGGGGTAGAATAAGAAAACAAGAAAGAAAGCAATAATGTTTATCTTTAATGAAAAATATCACAAAAAGCAAGAGAGCCAGAAAGTGAAGCTGTTTGCAAGAAGGGTAAAAAGGGTAAATGCTATCAGGTGAATTAAGAACAAGTTGACTTCTGGACGTATAAGCAGGGGCCACTTTCTCAAAACTGTCTACCGGTGTATATTGTCGAGTTCTTGGGACATTCCATAGATAAACAAGTTATAGAATTAGCACACGTTTCTAAGGGATGTCCATGAACTTAGACTTCTGACGGTTTCAAGAACCTGACCCCTTGTTGCTTTCTCAATGCATTGTAGGAAAAATGCCACACTCACTAAAAACTTTTAAAAAATCCCCCCCCCCCCCTCAAACAAAAGCAGGAAACAATACAGAGCTCAATACTTTCATCACATTTACAAAAAGAAGCAGGTACCTGTTTAGGTCTCTTGCCAGGCCTGGAGATCACTCAAACATTCATCTATAGATTTGTAATGTTCTGATTGCCAAGTCTATTTTAATCGCTGGCAAACTTGACTTGCCAAAGACTCAATCAAAGGTAAAGGATGAATCCATTATCAAATGCTGTAATAATCACTCAACCTTACTTGGCATTAAAGTATTGTTCATGTCATTATGACCCTCTCTCTACCCCCATCCTAATCATGACCCTCCCCTCTAGCCCCATCCTACCCCGTCCTACCTCACCCCCAATCTAAGCACCTCCTAAATCTCAGCTTTTATTGTACTATCAAGAATCATAAAGATTATCTTCTCAGACCAAGCATTGTGGCTCCCACAATTGGTCAATCTAGCGGGTATCTGCTAAAACTGTAAACCCCTCGTAATCGTCATGGTATAGAAAGATTAACAATAGGTAGAAAGTTTCAGTTCTT